CTTTCTTTCTTTTTTTCTTTCTTTCTCCCCTCCCCCCTCCCTCTCTCTCTTCTTTCTTTCTTTCTCTCCAAAAATAGCACTGCTAAATACAAAATATCATCTACATTTAAACATCCCAGGACAGGGTGAGTGATTTCACTGTGGGGGAAAAACTGCCTCCCCTCAAGTTTCTGGCTGATATGATCGCGCTCTCAGTCCCCGTGAACTATCCATCCCCATTTCTTCAGATGAGGTGAGCGTGGCCATAAAACTAGTTTTGGTTGCTGCTTCCATATCACCAGTTGCAGCTGGAGAATGTGACCGGTGGTTGCTTTATCAGAGAGTACAGTGGAAATCGGGGAGATGTGACAGTTAACTACCAGCAGCCTCACACTCATATATAGGTATGTCTCTCTCTCTCTCTCTCTCTCTCTCTCTCTCTCTCTCTCACGCACACACACACACACATACACATTCTTGTTTTTTGGTTGATTCTTCATGGGTCTTTGTCATCTCACTATGTGGTTTGAATCTTCAAGGGATTTCACTTTAAACTTATTTTTATCCCCTCAGTACCTAGCCCAGGATTTCAAATATGGCAGGTGCTTAATACAAAGAAATCGTTGATAGGTATCGGTGACTGTAGCAACTGAGGGCTAGGCCAGAGGGCATTTATCTGTCTGTTTGGCACCTTCTCTATGTTGACAGAGCCCTTACTTTGGTTTCTTATCTAGTCCCATGCTCTCCACCTTTCAATCTGTTTGTTCATGCTATTAGACCTACTTTTCAGAAACCAGATCTATAACACGTAAGGGCCACAGGATAAAGGCTTAACATCTTAGCCTGACATTTAAGGTTCCATGACGGTGCTTTTCAAAGTTTAATGTGCATACAAATCACCTGGGGATTTCATCGACACAGATTCTGATCAGGCAGGTCTGGGGCTGAGGCCCAAGAATCTTTAACGATCTCCCAGGTAATGCAGATGCTGCAGGTCCTGGGACCACATTTTGAGTAGCAAGTTTCTACAACACTTGGTCTGGCCCAGGTGTTAAATGCCTTTTCAGCTTCATCTCAATTTACTCCCCACCCTGTACCCTACAGTCTAGCACAACTGTTGTTCTTGGCATTCCCTGGCAATTCTCTGACTTGTGCTTTGATTCATGTAATACCCTTCTGCATGCTAAACCATTACTCATCCCTCCAGACAGCTCAAGTATCACCATCTATGTGAAGCCTTCCAGCTCAGCTGTCCCCCTCCTTGGCCAGCTAATCCCTCTGTCTACCAAGTTTTCACAGCACTTTGCTAATTCTGATATTCAGCACTTATTACAAGTTATCATAATTGTTTGTTTACATGACTGTCTTCCCAACTAGGCCATGAGCTACCGAGGGCAGGGGGCCAGGCCTCATCCACCTTGTAATCTCAGTACTCAGTATAGTGCACAGTGCACACCATAGGCCCTTCACAAATACTGACTGAAGTGAAATGAGCTGAATTTCTCATTATTGCTCTTTTGCAGAAGACTTTTAATGATGACTATCTTGAGACAAAAATATATCTTGACAATTGAGGGGGAAGTCACAAAAGATCATTATAATATAATAATATTAATGTTCTTGTTATCAGCTATAATGTTAGCTAATTCTAATTATTATTAATGATTGCTATTATTTATCTATTGAATGCTTACTAGGTACCAGGCACTGTGCTAATCATTTAGATATAAAACTTCATTTGAGTTTTACATTCTACTTTTTGGACAAGGACACAGACACAGAATTTGGAGGATAGCTCCAATGCTGTAGCCCCAGAAAATGAGAGTTGGGATTTGAAGCCTGACCCTTGGATCCAGTCCATGCTCTTAGCCTTTTTTGCTGTTTTTTTTTTAAGATTCTATTTATTTATTTTTAAAGAGAGGGGAAAGAAGGGAGAAAGAGAGGGAGAGAAACATGGATGAGCAGGATAAACATCAACTGATTGCCTCTTGCATGCCCCCAAGTGGGGACCTGGCCTGCAACCCAGGCATGTGCCCTGACTGGGAATTGAACCAGCGACTTTTTGGTTCACAGGCTGTCACTCAATCCACTGAGCCACACCAGCCAGGGCTTAGCCTTTTTTTTTTTCTGATGCTAGAAGAATAGTCTTGTTTTAGTGCTCTGCTAAGTATGCCTTTCTGGCTGGGGTAGTCACCAATTAGATGTGCTCTAAACTCAGCAGGGCCTCCCTCCAGGACAGGGAGCCTCAGCGCTTCCTGTGTTTTGGACTTCTTTGGCAGGCTGGTGATGCCCATGACTCCTCAGGACAATATTTTAAAATGCACTAAAACCCATAGAATTACAAAGGAAACCAACCATATTGAGATTCAATTATCAAAATAATAAAAAGCAAAGGTGTGATATAGTAATATGTGCTCTTTTTCCTAGTTTTATTGTGTTACAGTTGACGGATGTGCATTTCTACATCAATGACAATAATATCTAGCTATGAGTCTAATACTGATTTTAATTTTGAAGTATTGATGGGCTTAAGCAATATTTTGAAATGTTTATAATAGCTAATCTATGATAAAAATATCTGTGATCTCTCTATATTTAAGACAAAATCACATGTACTTTTTAGGGTACTGTAGTATGTTGCTGATATTTACAATGGAAGCAAATACTAAATTTCCATATGAGTTTAGTTTAGTACAATTAAAGATGTGATTTTTTTCTCATTCAGGTTCACAGACCCCCAGAATTCTATACATGAACATCTTGGATATGTATGTAGGGGGATTGGTTCTGTGAACTTCAGGTTCTAGGGAAAAGGGATTTCCTGACTTTTTGAGGTTGGAGTGCTCATAGAAAGAAGCCAGTGAGGCATGAAAAGTTGTCGTATGTGCACAGAAATGACACAAAGTCAGTGGCAAGAGTACGTAGTGGAGTACGATAAAGGGGGTGGGGGAGGGGAGGCGACGCTTGGCAATGTTAGAGCCCAGCAGCAGGACAGAAGCTCTTCCTTTGGTGCGGGCGTCCAGAGGTTTTCAGAAGTGGATGAAAGCATACTTGGAGAAATCCTACAGTGTGCATAAAAACCTTAGGAGATGGGAGGAATTCTGTAGCTGTCCCCAGCAGAAACACAGGGTGACTGGACGGTACTGAGGAGTACAAAGGGAACTGTGCCTGGAGTTGCCAGGTGATGGCAAAGTGGGTCGGGCCCCCACCTTCCTGTGTCACGTGCATGGAGGTACGGCAGGGGTCTGCAAACCCACTAGCCTCTGCCTGCTTAGACTGATTCAAATGGGAACACCTGCAACAGTGTAAACCCAAGCCTAGTCTCTATTGGTGAAGAAATACGCGACCCAAAGCTTGGAGGCACAGATGGTATTGTAATCTCAGTAAACTGAACGCTGGTTGTTTCAATGGCATCGAATGCCTCCCCTGGGCATTTGAGTAAACTACAATCTGATGCATTTTTCCTTTTAGGGCCTTAACTCCCTTTTCACACACATTTTATATTCTTGGCAACTAGGTCTGTCAAAATTCTATGCCCACCCTACTTTATACTTTTTTTGTAAATCCCAACATCAATGATGCCCTTTCTCTTATCTCAGTTCCCAAATCCTAGCCATCCTTTTAGGCTCACCTCAAATGCTGTCTTTCATGCAGATTTTCCTACACCTGGCTGTCAAAGTGCCTCAGCTGAAAGCAATCTCTTCTACTTGGGAACTTTCATAGCACTTCATCTGTATTTCTCTTATGATAGATAATTTTCATGCTACTATGGACAATAACAGTTGTGGCCTTTGAAGAAAGATCATACTGGAAAAAGTGCCCCAAAATGGGAGGAAAAGCAGAATAGACAGTAAAAAACAATACTTAGAGCCCTGGATACTTCTGTATTGATGCACAGAATGAGAGTAAAAAGTAAACTTGGAGTGTTAACCAAAGTTGTAAAGACGGGTGCGCAAAAGTAGGTTTACAGTTGTGAGCGCATGAAACACAGTTTACTATTGTATTATTGTCCATTATTAATTATTATTTATTTGTATTATAACTGTAAACCTAATTGCATAGGTATCACCTGCACGGTATGATAGGATTACAAATAGAATGTGGCAAATAAAACATATTTGGCTAGAAAGAAAACTAGTTCCTTAGAAGCAGAGAGGACGTTTAAGAAGATACACGGAATATACCAGCGTGGAGCGACACGATCAGAGCCTCCTTACGAAGATTACTGTGGGGGCAGCTGAAGCTTGGATTAAAGCAGAGAGAGACTTAAGGCAGAAAGACCAGTTGGCAGGCGTTTAAATAGTCCAAGTCAGATATAATAAATACTGACTTAGGACTTCAAGGTGTCATGTCTAGGTGCCTGGCAGGATGATGATGTCTTTAAGACGAATACAGAAAGGATTTGGGGTCAGTTGCAGGATGAGAATGGTTTGGGCTCTAAAAGCTCTTGGGGTGTAGAAAAAGTGAGAGCCTCCCAATCAAGGAATAAACATTAAGTGCAACTGTAGACGGAATTAATAGAAATACAAAGTTCTGATGATAACTGTAGAACTGCAGTGAGGTCTGGATTCATACTTTATGGAGGATTTTGATAAATATGGTGAGTTACAAATTCTCTCCTTTGAAGAACACTGGAAGAAACTTGGAATATTTAAATATGAGGTGGTAAATAGAAAGGATATAAGCACCGACTTTAAATATGTGAGACAGAAAAAGTAAAGAAGGAATTAACTATATTTTGAAGCAAGGTGGTGGGGTACTGGCAGGTGGAGCTACAAGGTGGACATTTTGGGCTTATCCTAAGACATGGTTCAGTAACAACGAGAGGGGCCAGGAAATGGGGGAAACTGGCCTGCAGGGCAGTGAGCTCCTATCTGTGAACTAGTCAACCAGAAATAGGGTGAAGCTTTGGTCATACGTTTTTGTTTTTGTCAGAAAACAGCCAGGTATTTTCATATTTTATTAGCTACAGTCTAGATCCTAGAGCTGCCTGGTTTCCCTCCCTCCTCCCAATCATGGGGTCAGGCTTTCCCAGGAGCCCCTGCCTTTGCCTCCTGGGCCCACTGGAACTCCTGCTGCAGCTGAGCAAGGGTCTCCCTCTGTTGCTCTGACTGCTGCTCAAGGTCCCGGAGCTGGGATTCGTATCTCTTAATTTCAGCTGTGATATAGTCCAGTCTCTTCCCCACTGTGGCCCGAGCCTCCCCCAGGTCCTGTTTGACCAGCACAGGACCCAGAAGTTTAAAGACCACACTGGACCCATCCAGCAGGACCAGTTCCTCCTTGACGATATTATTTTCTGTTAGTTGTGCTTCAAGCTTCTGCCACCCTGACATAGATTTACTCAAGTCCTTCTGTAGCTGCTGATATTTCTCCACTTCTCCCTGTAGCTTCTTCTGGATCAGCTCGGCCATGGTGGAGATGACAGTCGTTTCTTGGGGCCTGGTTCCAGACTTCAGTCATACGTTTTATAGGAAGAATTTCTACAGTCTACAGAAAGGAGTTTGAAGTACATGATGTTTAGGATATCTTGCTACTCTAAAATTTTTAGGTCCTGTTCTCCAGGGGAACTTTCCTGATTTTGTCCTGCCTGGTGTGAGTGAGGCCCCTTCTCTGTGCTCACCAAGCACCCTGGGGCTGCTACCCCTGTCCTACCGGTGCCACACGTCATGCTATTAGCCTCTGTCTTCCTCATCAGGCTGCCATCTCTTTGAGGGTAGGGACCGTCTTTTATCTATACATGTCCATTGTCTAGTGCAGTGCTCGACACAGAGTGTTAGCACTCAGCAGGTGATTGTTGAATATTGAGAAAATAAATGAATGAAGGTGATATAGGTTCAGCTGCTATAAAATGTGGGCAAGTGGAGCTAAAGCTGGGGTGTTTCAGTTTGCAAAATTACCTTCAGCGGGAAGATCATGTTCTCATAAATCATATGCTTTCTTTCTTTTTTCTTCCCTAGTTGCAGATTCAGTTATCAGAAATATGAGGGGATTTGATCATAATGGAATGAAATCATCTTATCTGAAAAGTCAGAGCGTGCTTTCAGGGTAGCAGAAAATCAAGGGACTTCAAAGTTGCATTTGATTTTTATTTAATTAATGAAAACTTAAAAGCACAAAACATCAGGGGCTATTTAAAGTTTAACAGCTAGAAACATAGCAAGGTACCTATGGAAAAGAAGAGCACAGAGTCCACTTACTTTGTGAGCAGTTGAGAGCCATGTGATCACACTCACATTCTTGGGAAATCATCTGACATTGCAGGTGGTTCTCCCCAAAGATCCAATTTCTCACCTATCCTTTGATATTATTTGCACACTGATTACAATGCCCATAGTTGTCAGTCAGTGTTAAGGTACAATGTTGCTGCAATCGATATGGGGCTGAAATATACAGTTCCTTAGGTGGGGAATGGCCCAAACACAGCTAGTGCCCGGAGTGCATGGAGATGCTTGTTTCTGCTAGTTTGCCCTCAAAAACATGATGTAGGACAGCTGCTGATCACATCCCGGAACATGTCCTACGTGCAGCCATCAACCAGATGTGGAATTTAAGGCTACATTCTCTCATTATATTTCTGCTGGGGCCAATGAGAAATTGCATTTGTTTACAGAGGAAAGACAGGCAAAAGTCTTCCGTGCAGGGAGGGAAGGCCGCACATTGCTTTCCGGCACATTTTGGGTGGCAGAGCTGTCTGTTGTCCCCTGACCTCCAAGCAGCTTTGGACAATTCTTGGTACCAAGCACATACTCAGGTCAGTGTGGTGCATGTTAATGAATGTTGTCTTAAAGATTACAGGACTGCAAAGAGAATTATTACATCATAAGTGGATAGTTGCCTCTGTAATGGGAGCGGCAATAAAGGAAGTAAATGAGGTACCTACTGCAAATGTAAAGGCTTCCTATCTTAACAACATACGAACCCTAACCATGACTGAGAGTGAAGATAAACAGATCCCAACAATAATATTAACACTCCTTCACCAGCCTGAGTGGAAATACATTCAGCTGTCATTTGATTAACTTTCATTAATAATAAAAGAAAAATCTGACAGTGACCAGAGGGGAGGTGGGAGGGGGATAACAGGGGGAAAGGGGGAAGGGTTGTCAAGGGACATGTGTAAATGACCCACAGACAAAGCCAAAGGGGGGTAGGATCGAGGGTGGGAGGTGGGGATGGCTGGGGTAGGGGGGAAATGGACACAACTGTACTTGAACAACAACAAAAAATTCAAAAAAAGTAAAAAATAAAAATTCACAACAAAAACAAAAAAAGAAAGAAAAAGAAAAATCTTACATATCTAAATCCCCTACTATATTTGCATGGTCAGTGTTGACACTATGAATGGACCAGTCTGCTCATTCATATAATTCACCTTAAATTGCCCTGTCAAAGGAAACTGCAGAAAGGACTTCCATGAAACATAGGACTATATGTGTGTGTCTGTACTTGTGTGTGTGGATCATGTTTGTGCACATGCATGTATGTGCTTATGTTTGAAGGATGCTGTTAACTATCAATATATGAGACATGGACTTAAAAGCTCAAGTTTCAGTGTGCTGAAGGTCACATAAACCGAAGGGTGTAAATACTGCAGGAGAAACTAAAGCCTTTAGCACACCTGTGCTTAGTAGTTTCCACCTGAATATCCAAAACAAGCGCACATGTTGAATGTACTTACGGATCTTTTTCTACTCCTGTCTTTATTCCCTCCTCTCCCCCACACCTATTCACTCGAAATCAAAGTCACATTCCGATGGTGAAAGGAGGAACGCAGGCTCATTTTTTTTTCTCCACGCCTGTTGTCTTATATTTCAGGGAGTTCTAGAAAGCAGGACCATTTCACATTTGCCATCAGGGATGGGCATTTCAGTGAACTGATGATGGTGAATTCTAAGAAGAGATTTAATTCAAAAGGCCAAGGGATTTAAGCACAATAGGCTTCTTTCTCTGACAAAATCCCTAAGATAGTCACTGACATCCAAACTGACCTCTAATTAATTTTAAGTTCATTGAAAATTTGGTCTGAGAGGCTGCCAGAGAGGGAACCCAAGGGTGCGTTGCCATGCAGCTACGTGTGGACCTGAGGAACCTGAAGCTGCTTGCTCTCCCCTCGAGGAAAGGTGGCAGAGGAGAGTGGAGCAGACGCAGACTCATGCGTGTGACAGTAAGTACTTCTGTTAGGGCGGTGGAGCGCTCTCATTTTGTCTTCACAGGCCTAAGGCAAGCATGCTCCACATCAGCTTGCAGACTGCCTGGAGGGCTGGAAGAGACACCGTGAATTTTCCTGCATGAGTAAGAACGTTGCAGAGGTGATCAGCTTAAACACAGCTAACGGGGAAGTATCATAATTTGGAAAAAATGAGGGCAGAAGTTTTAAGTTGACACTCATGAACTTAGAAGTGGTAAAAGAGAAAAGGTGCCCTGATGATCTCAAATGCAGAGAACCAGAAGAAACCCTGAGGAAGGTTACCTTCCTGACATTCGCACGGATATTCCAGGGGCCTCAGGAGGAGATTGGGACTCTACAGCGAAGGGTCACAATCCTAATCTCAAGAGTTCATTCAAGCCCCACTTGTGGCGAATTTTCAGTAAGAGCAGGGGACAGAAAGGACACAGTAAAAACACCTGTCGGAAACTTTCCCCAAGCCACATCTTTGTCGTTCAAAAGACCAAAGTGAGGCTGAGCTTCAGAAACCAGGTTTCCCTGGTTGGGAAACAGAGCAGGCCAATAGCACCTTTAAACACGTCTCTGATTTTGAAGCAGCTGAGGGAGGTAAAACCTGCAGAGAGCGCGGGGAGGGCGGCACTAGAAGGCCCTGCAGAGGTGCTTCATTAACCCGATTAAGCAGGTGGATGGAGAGGGCCTCGCTGATAATTTACACCTTGCTAATGAAGCGTGTGACTCTTAATCTCCTCCAAACAAGATACACTCATGAAACTCTGGTGCAAGGAAAGGGGAAATTAATTAGGTGAAAAAACTATGAGATTATAGCAGAGGGATTCCTGCAAGGCAACTGTAACCCGTGTAGTTATTCATTTTAGCCTTTCTGAAATTAATGGCTGAGCTGTCAGGTAAACAAGTTGTGGTACATTTTGGACTTACAAGAAGTTCAAAAGCAGTGTATCATTTCGTGTCTAATTTTATACTTCATGTGTCTTAGAAATTGGCTCTGATGAAATGGTTGCTCTGATTTCTAGTGGGTAATTTTAATATATTTGATTGTAGTACAGCTATTTATAGTAAGAGTAAATAAAGAAAATTCAATTATATATTGCTCATAATTTTAAAATGTTAATTTGCAAAGTAATTCTTATATCTAATACAAGATGTGAAAGCATTTTGTGTCATGAAGACAAACATTTTATTTCATATTTAGTTTGTTTCTGACTATATATGATTTACACATAGCATTGTGTACATTTAAGGTGCATGATGGTGTTGATATGATACACGTAAGTTTTGCAAAAATAATTACCACCAGAGCATTAGCTAACATCTGCATCATGTCACATAATTACCATTTCTTTTTCTGTAGTTAAAACAATAACATTTAAGGCATACTCTCATAACAACTTTCAAATATATAATACACTATTAACTATGAAATATATAATAATAGTCACATGGCATACATCAGATTTCTGGAACTTACCTTACCACGGGAAGTTTGTGCCCTTGGGCCAACTTCTCTTCAATTCCCTCACCTAGTAACCACTCTTCTGGGCTCTGTTTCTGAAGAGAAACATTTCAAATGATTAATTAGAACTATTACATTAGTGGTATTTTCAATTTAACTCTACGTTCATTTATCCACCCACCTATTCATCTACTCGGACAAAAAACACTTCTCCACCAGGTGTTGAGCCCTGGACTAAGTCACAAAGACCAGGTCACGCCCACTCAGATGACAGGCAGTCCCTGGCCTCAAGCATTCCACGCAAGAGGAAGGAGCCCAGCAGCGGTGAGGGGGTATGGTCGATGCTGCCTGGTCTTGGGGTGACTTAAGAGGAGCTGTCTCAGTGTGGATGAGGCTGAGAAGCTGATTTCAGGCAGAATGTGCTCAAAGGCATGGAGTTATGACATGTCAGAATATTTCGGGGGACGTCAAGCGCTCTGGGATTGCTGAGCTGGGGGCTATGTATTCAAAACTGGGTTTTCCGAGCTCTTCTCTCTGGGCTGTGGAAATCCCATGGGTCCTGAGAGTGTACAGTGTTTAAGTGTAAACAGTGGGTTATAGGAGAGCAAGACTACAGGCAGGGAGATGACTTCAGTCAGTTGCTCGAGTTCTGTGGACAGGTGATAAGGGCGGCTGTAGTGCGGTGGCTGTGGGGCCGGTGGGACCGCAGCCATTGAGAGAGACTTAGGAGGTAGAAAATAGGAGGAGATCACTAAACCAGTGTGATACATAATAGATGCTCAATAAAT